TATTTCAGAGTCTGTGTCTCCCTCTCTCTCTGACCCTCCCCTGCTCACGCTGTCTCTCTCTCTCTCTCTCCTAGAAATAAATAAAACATTAAAAAATATATATATCCTTTTTGAAAACCGTCTCAGAGCCATGCGTTTGCAGCTACAGCCCCCCCCCCCCCCCCCCGCCACCACCCGCTCTGCACTCGGCTGCGGGAGGCTGCCTCGCCGGGTCCCCCCGACTGGCACGGTGCCCCCGAGCTGGGTCCTTCCTCATCTCTGTGCCCGCCGTGGCGCACGCGGCTCCGGTCGGTGTCGTCAGACGGTGCTGCGCCCGGCCACCGGCCGTCTGCTCCCTTCCGCGCGCCTGTGACTCTGTGCTCGACCGACTCCACGCCTTTCTCGGCACCGAATCACACACAGCCAGCCGAGCACCGAACTCCGGGCTGAACGCAGAGCCACCTCACCCCGATCCATCCACTCCTCCGACCTCGACCGTGACCCCCCGGGTTTTAAAACCTGCTAATTAACCAAACTCCATTTCTTAGAAGCATCAGGTGCACCGCCGAGTTTTCATCCTGAACAACAACCGGCAGCCCCTCCTCAGAACCCACCCTCAGCCGCCACCGTCCGGAGCTGTCAAGTCCCGCCGATGCCCAGAAAAGTCTTGCTGTTTTTATTTGCTTGCGTGGCCCTGTGTAGGGCTGACGGCGGCGTACCTCTGCCGGGGAAGCCGTCCCAGCTTTACAGCGTGCACCCCCGTCCCCGAGGGGCGCTCGTGCACCAGAGCTGGAAATCGCTGCCTTGGAGCCCCCCCTCCCCAGTGAGGATGACGTACGGAGCCTCCCTGGTCTCCCTGGGCACCGGACTGAAATTCAAGTCCTGGCGAGCGCTCATCACCCCCCTCCCCTCCTTCTTGCTTCTCTTGCCTTAGGAGTAACAAACTCTGTTCTCCAAAGGGGGACCAAGTGTTTCGTAGCTATGCAAATCATGCATGCAAATGAGGGGCGATGTTAGCTATGCAAATCATGCATGCAAATGAGGGGCGAAGTCTCAGTTGCTTTTCAAGGCTGGGGTCCTCTGCACCTGTTTCCCTGGCCAGTCCCTCGGGCAAGGGGAGCAGGTGGGATTTAAAAGGGAGGGGGAGGGGCGCCTGGGTGGCTTAGTCGGTTAAGCGTCCGACTTTCGCTTGGGTCATGATCTCGCGGTTCGTGGGTTCGAGCCCCGCGTCGGGCTCTGTGCTGACTGCCAGCTCGGAGCCTGGAGCCTGTTTCAGAGTCTGTGACTCCCTCTCTCTCTGACCCTCCCCTGCTCACGCTGTCTCTCTCTCTCTCTCTCTCCTAGAAATAAATAAAACATTAAAAAAAAACAAAAACAAAAACAAAAACAAAATATCCTTTTTAGGGGCGCCTGGGTGGCTTAGTCGGCTAAGCGTCCGACTTTCGCTCAGGTCGTGATCTCGCGGTTCGTGGGTTTGAGCCCCGCGTCGGGCTGTGTGCTGACTGCCAGCTCTGAGCCTGGAGCCTGTTTCAGAGTCTGTGACTCCCTCTCTCTCTGACCCTCCCCTGCTCACGCTGTCTCTCTCTCTCTCTCTCTCCTAGAAATAAATAAAACATTAAAAAAAATAAAAATAAAAATAAAAAAATAAAAGGGAGGGGGAGGAATTCAGGTCCTGAGCCCAAGTGCTGTCCTTATCAGAGCCCTGGTCACAGGTGTGAGGTTACCACCACCTGCCCCTCCCGCCAGCTGCCAACTCCCTGGGACCAGGAGAGAGCCGGTTTCATTCCCCTCCTCCTCCCTCCCCCCTCCCTCCCCCTCCCCCTCCCTCCCCCCTCCCCCCATCCAGCTCAGCACAACAATTTTGCCCAACAAAATTCGCTGAATGAAGGATGAGCTAACTCTTAAAGAATCATTTCTTTGGGGGAAAAAGGGAAAAAAAAAAAGTCCCAGCTAAGTTTAAAGGCATTCAAGACGGGAATTCTGACAGCAGCCTGTGTAGCCAAAAGCTCTAGGTGAGCTCTTTACGAAGACCCTGGGTTTGCCTCTGTGTCTGGTCCGCTCAATGTCGCTATTCAGGTTTGCCCTTCACCGAAAGCCAGAGCTATCCCTGGAATGAGCCGCGTTTTCTTCCACTGGCCTTTCGGATCTTTATACCTCATAATCGCGGCTTTATTCAGCCGAATATAGTTTGGGAAAGCCGTCTGAAGCATTTGAGGGCTCACTATTTAAGAAAACGGGCAGACGGTCCTCGCCCTCGGACGCACACATGGAAAGTGGCATGCTTACCCAGGGGACAGGCTGTATTTGAGCGATCCTAATTAAGGTCCCCTGTGTGGAGCAGCGCAGGGCTGGGGAAATTCCGCGCCCAAGTTCACTGCAGGGTTACTGTGCACACCGTCCAGCCCTGGGCTTCAGGGCGCACAGCGCTGCCTACATTCTCCCGCGGCTGCAGGTAGAGACGGAGCTCATGGCTAACGTTTACTGACCGCAAACCGTTTTCAGGGCTGGGTCCTTCCCCGATGTGCTTTCCTGTCTCCCTAGGAGACATGAGCAGCCCCATTTCACAGACAGGGAGACCGAGGCCCAGGGAGGCCAAGCTACCCGCCCACATTCACACAGTTGAGAGGCCGACTGTCCTTCCTTGAAGCCCATGTCCTTGACCGCCACACAGGTTCTGGGTTTCAGGCCAGAGAGACGGAAACTTCTCTTATGATCTACCTTTATCCCTGCTCTATCTCCATTATAGGTCAAGGCCTTGCCAGGCACCCTCAATAAACGCCTATTAAGTAGCTTATGCAGGTAAGCTGGCTTAGAGGGGACTTTCTGCACAGTTGGCCAGGAAAGCGGGGAGCTCTGCCAGGAGAAGTTGGGAATTTTCCACCAAAAATAAAGAAGCAAGTACAAAGGCTTCATTGGGTGGGTAACCCGGCATCTGAGGTGACTTTGTGTGCATCTGTGCTTTGAAAAGGACCCTCTGTGGGTGCCGGGGGACGTGCGTATTCCGACGGCGGGCAGCACGCATCTGCTACGTGGCCTCAGAGCCCCCAGAGTGAAGTGCACTTGTAACCACAGGTGACCAGGGCTCAAGGAGAGTCAGTACGGTTAAGAGTGCAGAAGCAGGTGCACTGCCTGTGCAATCAGGGACACCTCCCTGGAGGAGGTGTGACACCAGAGTTGTGTTTCCAAGAAGGAGAAGGAGTCTGCCAGGCTGGACCCCAAGCAAGCGGAGGAGTGCGGTCCCACCTCCCGCTCCCCCTCCGAGGGGGTGAGGAGCGTGGTCGTCAAGCGTTACGAGCAGGTTGCCGATGGGAAGCCACCCCCATCCTTCTGTCTGCGTCTTCCCAGCAAAGCTTCCACAGAGGGACCCCGACTGTCGCTGCTACAGATGGGGAAACTGAGGCACAAAGGGAGCGAGCGGCGTGCCGGAGTAGACACCGCCAGTGACAGTAGAGATGCCCCATAGCCCAGGCGGCCGTGGCTTGTGCGCCTGGAGCCCCTCACGAGGGGCCGACGCGCTCTGAAAACAGTCCCGTGGTGCGATCAGCCTGAGCAGAGCACAGCGGGAGGGCCGGGGGCGCCCTTCCCTCGCGGTCCCCAAATCAGCACTGGGGGTCTGCGGGGGACTCACCCCCACAGGCCCTGCCCGCCAGGGACGCAGGGAAGGCCGACGGGCCCGGGTGCCAGCCTCCCCCCGCTTGCTCGTACTGCCGCGACCCCCGCTTTCAGGCAGGGAGACTGAGGCTCAGAGGGAGGAGGCTGCCCGCCCAGGGTCCCCCTGCAGGAACGGAGGTCAAAGCCGGTGTGCGGGGCCCGAAAGCCCACGCGGGTCTCGTGAGTGCGGGACTCCGAGTGGGGGTACCCGGGGGGCTCACTGAACACAAGCGTGCGGAGCCCCCGAGACAGAGAAGAGGGGTGGGCGGGCGGGCGAGACCGCGGTTCACAAGCCCTCCCGTCTCCTGGGCTCCTGACCACGCCGTCCACACGGCTCCAGACACAGCTGGGGGCTCTCTTCCCTGCGGGAGCACCCTGCCCGGGGGAGTACCCTTCCCTGTGGGAACACAGTTCCCGGCTGAAGCACCCTTCCCTGCGGGAGCACCCTTCCGGGGGTAGCACCCTTCCCAGTGGGAACACCCTTCCCAGTGGGAACACCCTTCCCCGTGAGGAGCACCTTTCCCTGTGGGAGCACCCTTCCCTGCGGGAGCACCCTTCCGGGGGGAGCACCCTTCCCTGCGGGAGCACCCTTCCCTTCTCTCACCCTGAGGCTGCGTCTACCTCCACAAAGGTCACCTGCTGGGGAGGCCGTCCTGACCCTACCAGAAGACAGTCGATGCTCCCGCTATAAGCCCCGTGGCATCAGCTATTTCCCTGGGAAGACACACATCCCTGCTCGTGGCAATGACCCCGCTGGGCCTCAGGCCCAGGGAGGCAGGGCCAGCAGTGTCCACCCACGGTCACCCCCACGGGCCCCACCTGGCAACGCCCTGCACGCAGCGGGCTCTTGGTGCCTTCACACCAGGCACGTGGACTGGAGCCTGAGGTGCCCTAGGAAGGACCGGTGTCGTTGTGCCTGTTTCCTGGTGGGCAGAGTGACCGAGGGGTTTGAGAGGCAGCCTCAGAGTCCGCCCCCGGACACTCAGCCGCCTGCGGAGGACACGCAACCCAGGCTGCGGCACAACAGCTTTGTCACACATCCAGGTCCTTGCCACTCCCTCCCCTCCCCCACCCTCCCACAAGGGGCGGACACAGCCGTGATCAGCCGGCCGGGACGACAGGGCCTCGACCGGGCCCGGCACCCCACCCTAGTGCCCGTTTCCGCACCCAGATTCCCTAGATTCACGCCCCCTCCAGCACGCCCACGCCTCCGGGAGGCCCCTCTCTGCTGTCACAGGACCCGCTGACCCGGCCGCGTGAAAACATCTCAAACACAGCCCCCGGCCAGGCCCCTCTGGCCCAGTTCCGCCCTCCTGGGAAATGTGGCAACACTTCAGGCACCAAACTCACGCGTTACTCATAGCGGCGGGGAAGGCGGAAACCTCCTGAGGGGCGGCCATCCCCAGGTGGCCGCATCCGTGGAAAACCCAAGCCGCCAAAAGCTGGGTCCTGCCCGAGCCGGGGGAGGAAGGGAACCATGAACACCGGCGACAGACCAGGTGAAGCGGGTACGCGGCCGGACCGGAAGGAAGGAGGCTGACGACCCGGGGGTAACCCCTGCCTGGAGGTCAATGGCCATGGTCTCGTCAAGTGCTTTATGTTTCTTGTTTGTTACAGCGGACCGCGGGCACCAAGTATAGCGGCCACATGTGCGCGTCCAACATAAGCTCGGGTCGTGGCCACGGGGGATGCCTGCTGGGGGTGGCGTGGGGCGGCTGAGCCCCGACCCTGGAGACGGGGCTGCCCACCGCTCCATGCTGCACAGAGCAGGGGAATGGGGAGGGGCGCCCTGACCTCAGTGCTCAGGCTCCCCGTTTTCCCACACCTCTCCGGGACCCCAGCAGAGGTCATGTCCCAGGGGTCACCCACTCCTAGGGGTCACATCCTACCTCGGTAACACAGGTTGTTCTTGCAGCCGCCCCCGTAGCTGGGCGGGCACTCGGAGCAGGGCCGGCCGGTTTTGTAGGGGGCTTCGCCAATCCAGTTCCCCCTGCAGACAGACCAGAGACAGAATCAGGAGGGGCCCCCGCTCCAGGGCCTGGGGCGCCCCCTCCCTGGGCTGTCCAGGGGAGGAAGGAGGGTGTACACTGGGTAAAGGGGGACAGGCAGCTGCACAGAGTCTAGAAAATTCTAGAAGAATCCTAGTCGTGTCCTGTCACATTAGTGTGTGTGTCTACACACCCCCCTGGCCCCACATCCGCTTATGTCCTGCCCTACATGACTCCGAACGCCATCAGCCGCCCCCCCACCCACCCCAACACCTGAGTACTGGAAAGTTCTGAGATCCCCGCTTTTGAGCCATTTCTCAAAAGTTGGCAGAGGTTTCCTCAGCCTCTTAGGCCCCCAGACGGGCCCGTCGGCCCTGCCAGCCCAGTCTGCCCACATACCTAGGGCTCCATGTTTCCTCTAAGACAAACCCCACCTCGGATGATCCAGGAGCAGAAACACGCGGGTTGGCGTCTGTGGCGTGCAAGCTGGGCGCCAGGCCCGAGGCCGACGTCCCACAGAGGACGACGGCCTTATTCCTCCGACAGGTCCTCGGAGGAAGCGTCCACCCCCCATTTCTGCCCAAGCACCACCCCTGAGCCCACCCTGTCAGCCACTGCCCCCGGGTCTGGTGTCTCTGCGGTGGCATCCTCAGTGGCCAGCGGTCAGACTCTCAGGAAAGAGGCCACGGGCACCGCCAAGCCCCATGCGGCGAGCTCCGAGATTTACACTGGGGCGAAATCTCGAGCACAGAAGATGCTCGGCACGGAAGGGCCGATCTTGAGGTCCATTCATATGAGGGTCCCAACCAGACAGAGGGACCGATGGGGAGAGATGGCAGAATGGTGCCCCACCCCCCCCCCACCCCGGGGAACATCCTCGGTCCCTGAAAATACCCTCCATCCCGAGCTAGGTGCTAGTTAGGTGGGTAGAGACGTGGCGTATGGACTGAATGTGTTCCCCCCGCCCCACCTGCTACTGCCTCTGTTGAAGCTCTAACCCCCTGTGCGGCTGTAGGTGGAGATGGGGCTTCCCAGGAGATAAGCGAGGTTCAAGGAGATCGTAAGGACGGGGCCCTGATGCACCAGGACTCAAGTCCTTGTAAGACGAGACAACTGGGAAGCCCCCACCCCCGCCTGTGCACACACGGAAGCGCCCCGTGAGGGCACGGGGGGCGGGAGGGGGGCATCACCAGAACCCGGCCTCGACCCGGGATGCACAACCTCTAGACTGTGAGCCCCCCAGCCCCCGGCACTTGGTCACAGCCGCCTGCACCCGCCGGTCCACACAGACATGGGTGCGATTTATCGAGCCGCCCACGTAAGACTAGTGTGTACCGTACACGCGTTACTCTTTTTTGAAAAAAACAGCTGGAACTCAAAATAGGCAGAGCTGTTTCCGATAGGATCTTCTGGCGTATTTTTCTCTATGCAAACAGTCTAATGGGATTACTCCTCACCCCCTACCTGCCACCGCCACTGGCCGGGGATCCCACCTGCGTGGGGCCATCACTGGCCTGCCAGTGCGATGACACACTCCGCCTGCCCTCACGCCCGCGGGCTATTTTCTTCCCGACCGTGACCGTCGAGACTCCCTCCATCCCCGCCCCGCATGCTGCCTCCTCACAGCCACCCTTGGTCCAAACCAAGTAAGTGAGGTCATTCTCATCTCATTCAGTCACTGAGCAAGTATGCCTCAGGGGCACACTGCGTGCGTGGCTCGGCGCTAGGGTGCAAACCGCAGGCTCCACCCTGGGAAGATCGCGCTCTGAGAATCAGCACGTACTGGAGGGGCGGAGGGGTGAATGAGAGAGGGATGGACAGCACGCCGAAGACATCAGCACGCCGCGAGGAGGAAGGGGCTGCGACCCAGAGGCGCGGCGTGGTCCTTCCCAGCAGGGGGAACACAAACATGCAAAAGCTAGGTCCCAGCTGACTTGCAAAGCCAATTAGGGCAATTTCATTGGTGAAAACCAACTGGGGAAGTCTTGTGCACCCCCCTTGTCTGTGAGGGGCCTAGTTCTGGCCAGTGACACGAGAAAGTGGGCCTGGGGTGAGAAAGGCCTAAGAGAAAGCCCTTTTCTACCATTCTCCTCCCTTTAGGTTGGGAAGATGTGATGGCCGGTGCTCTGCAGCCATTATGGAACCAGGAAGCTAAGACAGCGCAGCAGGAAGACAAAGAGCTGCGTCCTCGCTGATACTGCTGAGCTTTGAAGCTAAACTGGGTGCGCCGATCTCTAGATGTGCGTTATGTGAACTCCTGACTAGACTTCCCCATTTACGCCGATCTTTGTTGGGCCTCCGCGGCGGGCAAATGCGTCCCAGCCCTCCCAACCACGTCGTTTGTTCTTACTTTGGAGAGTAGTTGCACACGAGGTAGACGGCGTTCTCCCACACATCTCCCCAGACGTTGATCCTCCGGCAGGTGTTCACGGCGCAGCCAACCTTGTTCGTGGTGGCCCAGACCATCTGAGGGACGACAGCCCCGCGTCAGTTCAGGACCAGCCAACATGATGAGACCTGATCTAGAGGGCGGGCGCTGAGGGCTGAGCCGTGAGGGGTGGGGCAGGTCGTCCCCCCTGACCCCCAGAAGATGCACATGCTTGTTTTACACACACACACACACACTCAGACACACTCAGACATACACATATACACATACCACACACATACACAGACACAGATACATACACACACACAGACCCACACACATACACACACACCACACACACAGACACTCAGACACACACATACACACACATACACACACACCACACACAGACACACATACACCCACCACACACATACACACACACCACACACACACACACACTCATACATACACATATACACATATACACACACTACACACATACACAGACACACATACATACACACACACACATACACACACCACACACACAGACACACATATACACTCAGACACACACACCACACACATACACACACACACCACACACATACACACACACACCACACACATACACACACACACCACACACATACACGCACACCACACACACAGACACATACACTCAGACACACACATACACACACTCAGACACACACATACACACACCACACACAGACACACACAGATACACATACACTCACCACACACATACACACACACACACACACACACACACAGAAACCGTGCCAGCGATGTAAAGCCGCCACACCCGTTTCCAGGGCTCACTCAGCCTCTGTCCGTGGCCCACAACACACGCCCGCCCACCGGCTCCGCCGAGCGGCACCGCGTTACATTACGGTAACGACCGCGCAGAGCTTCCCCGACTGGGCAGCGGCCCCGCACGGCCAGGCGGGTGGCGGGGCTTGGGGGCGCCGCGAGCGTTACCTGCGTGTAGTGGGTGCACATGGCCCCGGAGCACCTCTCCGGGCACCAGGGGCTGCACTCGTGGGGGTAGGGGTACGTGTAGTCCTTCACCTCGTCGTACCAGGCCTGAACGTGGAAGCCGGGGGAGCGGTACCTGCGGGCACATCAGCGGGTCACGTCCCGGCCACCGCGGGCCCAGCGGCGACCGCAGCGCCCGGCGCCACCAGGCACGGCCAGGCTGCCGGGGGTGGGGGTGGGGCCCTGGGCGAAGAGCCGCGGACCCCGCCCCGCGCCTGCGTCACCACCTAAAACCCGAACTTGCGAGGAGCTCATCTGGGGACCCCCGGGTCCGTCGGGGCTCCAGGAGCGCCCCGGGTGGCCCGCATGCCACCTGCGTGTGCAGGAAACGTCTGCGCGGGCCCCAGGGGGTCCTTCTTTACAATTACGTGTCTATTTCACGTACATTTGGGAAAATATATGCGGCCCCTGAGCCCCGTGTTTCCCAGATATCACTTAAAACACAACTTGACTTAAGACGTGAGTCCCCTTAGAGTCAGCGCAGAGAAAAGCAGGGAGTAAGTGCACATGTGACATCCGCGGAAGGTCTGAAAGCCGGGAGCTCGCCGGCTACGGGGGGCGTGGGTCCCTGTCACGCCCAGACACGTGGGCGTCCCTGTCACGTGTCCCTGTCACGCCCAGACGGGAGCCTGGAGGCTCCCGTTTCCACACGGTCCTGGCTGATTTCATTCCTGCCGGGGACCCCGGGAGTCAGATACGAGGTGGAAAAGGAAGTCAGGATGCAGAAACCCGCAGGCAGACAGAGGGCTGCGGTCACGTGGAGAAACTCTTTGGGAAACTTCTCACTTAGGATTTTATCTCCCGAGCCCTCCGGTGCCCCCAGGGGAGGAGACGCCTGTCCCCGCCCCGGTCACCATCCTTGCTGCCCACCGCCCCATCCAGCGGGTCGGCATCGTTCTTCTCTTACCAGGAAAGAAAAGAACCTGGATGCAAACCCCCGTCACCGTCACCAGCAAGTGTAAACAACGCCAGTTCAACAAGGAGAAAAGACAGAAGGCATCCGGCTACGTGCAGAGCCCTGCAGCGAGCCAGGCACCGAGACGTCCTGCAGCGATTACTGTCAGACCCAGAGCGAACGGTGGCGGTCAGTGACGTGGCCGTGGAAACGGCCTTTCTCCCGAGGGCCAGCTTAGGGAAGGACGCTCGCGGCCACACAGCCACTGAGCTACGGGGCAAAGGGGCACCGGGGAAGAGCAGGGAAGTGGAGGGAGGGTTCCCTCCCTGTAGACATTTTATTTTCATCTATCAAAGACTGATTTTATAAAAAGCAGAATTCACCCAAGGACAAAAAAAAAAAGGGTGTCAATTCACTTCCACGAAGTCACCTGTCACAGGTTCTGTCCCAGGGGCGCCTCTGGCCTGAGGGAGGGTACAGCTCACAGCCTCGCTGAACGCAGGAGCTGACAGAGCTGGGAGATATCTGGGCTGTGAGTCAGGCAAACCCTGACCGGTACTTTGGGGGAGATACTTCGAGTCCAGTGCAACCTTTCATCGGTTCGGGCAAAGCTCAAAGGGGCCCTGAGCCACTGGTTGGCTCTGAGTCCGGACCTGGGGACTTGCGAACACAGCGCCCCGTCCCGTTGGTCAGCGGGTCCACGCTGGCCCAGAAGACACATTCCCCACGTCCTCTAAGGAAGCCGGGCAGGTGCTCGGCCATGTGCTCAGCTGACCCTGGGGGGCCAGTGGGGAGCCTCCTGCAGGCAAGGCAGCCTTGGCCGTGAGAGCCGGCTCCCGGATGGCCGGGCGGCCGGCGAAGAGCAGAAGGGGAGGGGCGGCTGCTCGCAAGGTGGAGCCCAGCTGGGCCTTGAGAATAAGCAGGACCCAGACATTCGAGGGCAGAGAAGACACCCTGGCCCGTCACTGAAAGAGCAACGTTCCTGTGTTCCCAGTGGACCCGGCCAGCTCCGCTCCACCCCCCCCCCCAACCCGGCCCGACCGCCACGGGCTCAGGAATCCTTTCAAGGGGATGGGACGGAACGGCCAAGCTCTAGAAACCCCGAGCCCCGCGGTCTGCATCTCGAGCCCACAGGCAGGCGCGCATCCGTTTTGCCAGTTACTCGAAGTGGCCCCGGGCACTGAGGCCGTTTCCCTACCTACAAATGGCACAGGTGGCCGTGAGGGCTGGACGTGACGATGGACCGTGGCGGCCAGGTCACAAGCGAGGGGGAGGGGGCCACGCGGCTCTTACCTGCCCCAGTGGACGCCCAGGTTCTGCCCAATGGACACCAGCAGACTGGTGGGCCCGTGTTCCCAGATACACTCGTGAGCCCACGCCGCTGCCGACCGCTCCAGCTCCTCATCCCAGGTCTGCAGGGGGAGGCAATGCGGGGGAAGCCGGAGTCAGGGAGGTGTTGGCCACACCCCCCTCGGGGGAGCCGCAGCCGGGCCCCAGCTCCTGGGACACGGGGTTCTGTGCGTACGTTGGGGGGTCCCTAACCCAGCAAGCGGGGAGCGGCGGGTCCGCAAAGGGTCCAGAGGGGCTCACAGCTGCCTCTGGGCTCTCACGTGCCAGGGATGCTGAGCTGGCCCTTTGCACGGCCTCCCGGCCTGAGAGACGGGCGGGGGCCCACGACCCGGTGATGGAGCTGGCCGATGGTGCTGGCCGCTGCACTGCGCTCAGTGCCACAGAACTGAGTGCTTGAGGGCAGTCGGAACGGTAAATATTATGTTCTGTGTATTTGGTTGTTCCAAAAAAAAAACGCAGGCAGTGCCTTTGCCCTGGCCCGGGCCACTCTCCTCTGGCCCAGCCGGCCCCGGGTCAGGCAGGCGCGGGCAGGGTCTGGGCCGAGGCGCGCCCTGCCTCCCGCTGGCCCAGGGGCGCACGCCGTCCCCGGAACGAACACGGCGGCCACAGCGGCGGGGCCGTCGCTCCCGCGCCAGCCGCTGTTCCGCCTCGTGCGGTCATCAGGCAGGGGCGGACCTTCCTGCAGAGCCCCGGCCCCCCGCACACAGTAGGCGCTCACTGGAAGGCTGTGAGGCCGAGCCCTGGGACGCAGCCGGGGACGGGGGGCCCTGGGACCCCAGCACGGAACACCGCCAAGCTGGGCGCCTTCCGTCTGCTACCTCTTTCCAGCCTCCATGACAGAGTCCTGAACAGACATCCAGGGGGCAGGCCCGGGCCCAGGGCAGAGAGATGCCCCTGGGGCCCTGCGTCACCGCCCTTGACCTGATCCCGTCTCAGCTGCCATGGACTTTCCAGGTTCACTCGGACGTCAGACTCGTCTGTTGCCGACAGCGCCCCACCTTCAGCGCCCCCTGAGTGCTGTGCCGCTTCCGCCCGCGATCCTGTCCAGCGCCCAGGCCCAGCCCGAGGCGGAGAGGGAGTCAAGGCCCCAAAGGCCGCGTGCAGTGGGCAGGGGACAGGGCTGCCTTCAGGGGCGTGACCTGCCTGCCATTGCTGCTGTCCCCTTGAGGCCCGCAGTGCACTTCCTCCTTCCCAGAGAAACTGCCCGTACCAGCGTGGTGGCTCCTTCTCCCAGCAAGGGACCCCCGAGCCTCCCTGAAGGAACAGGCACCATTCACTGGGGGGCGGGGCAGTAGGGACAGTTGGCACCTTGCGCCTGGACCCCTCCCGGAGTGGCCCGCTGAGGTCCTTCCCGGAGCCCAGGGGGTCAGGGCGGAGCCGGCGCAGGCACAGCCGCCCCCCCCCGAGGCTCCCCCACTTCTCAGAAGTTCGCTGTTTATTCAGATCACCGTGAACCCTGTGTGCCTTTGGTCTGAGTCCATAACAGTTTCTGCAAGTGAGCGGGGGGGGGCGGGGTGGGGGGTGCGTGCCGGGAGGGCGAGGACATGCTTGGCAGATCTTGGGGTCAAAGGCGTCTGAAATCCTGGCTGGAGACACGCAGACTTGACACATGGTCTGCAGCTGATCGCTGCCAAGCAGGGACCCGGCTCTCCCCACCCCTGCATTCGAGGCCTCCTCACGGGCCCTTGCTGCCCCTTGCTGGCTGTGTGACTGTGGTCAAGTGGCTTCACCTCTCTGTGCCTCTGTTTCCCCCTCTCGTCCAGGGCTGATGGCGCCTGCTGGGATAGGACTGGGGGGAAGGTGGGCTGAACAGGCATCGAGCCCCGGGGACGTGCCAAGTAGCTCTCAGTAAACACTACCAGAATATTAAGGAAATTCACTTTCTCAAGCACCCACCCTGTGCCCGGGACAGTGTGCTTGCCCAGAAACATCATTAGCACCATTTTCTTATTTAATTATCACAAGAAGTCCTTGGGGTAGGTTTGATTTCCCCAGTGCTGTAGACCAAAAAAAAAAAAAAAAAATTCTTGAGGCTAAGAGAGGTTAGGTAACTTGCCTAAGGTCACAGAGCAGGAAGTCAGAACTTTAACAACCCAGCTTTATCTGGCTCCCGAGGTTGGGGGGAGGGGGGTGGGTGTCTCATCTTGCTCTGTGTCCTGTCACCAAGGGCCAGTCCCACTCCTCTAGACTAATAATAGCTACTAAGATAATAATAGCAAAAATACATTAACACGTATTTACTGCGTATACATTATCTCATTGAGTCTTCCAAACAACCCTATGGGAAAGGCACGTTTATTATCCCCGTCGTGCAGGTAAGGAGACATTAACACAGAGAGGTTAACTAATCTGCCTGAAGTCACACAGCGACCAAGCCAGGCCGGCTGGCTCCAGTCTGTCCACTTATAAAACCTCAAAATAGGGCATCTTAACTCTTTGGAGTTTTAAAATCCACCTTGCGGGGGCGCCCGGTTGGCTCAGTCAGTACAGCATGTGACTCTTCATCTTGGGGTTATGAGTTCAAGCCCCGCGTTGGGCGTTTATTACTTTCAAATAACATCTTTAAAAATAAACAAATGAATGAATGAAATAAGATGCACCATTCGGGGCCCCTGGGCGGCTCAGTCGCTTGAGCATCGGACTCTGGGACTCGGCTCAGGTCATGATCTCACGGTGCACGCGGCCAGCCCAGAGCCTGCTTGGGCTTCTCTCTCCCCGACCCTCTGCCTCTCCCTCCCTGTCTCTCTCTCAAAATAAATAAACTTTAAAAAAAAAACAACAACAACCCACCTTTCGGTGCTGAGGCTATTTCAGGGGACCGCGGCTCAGAGCCCCGGCAGGCAGGCCCGAGCCAGATTTTCAAGACATTTTCTCAAATTATCGCCACTTGTTGGGAAACCAGCAGAAGCAGATGGGGAGCACGCGGTGGAGACTCTGGGTCTCACGCCTCCTTCCCTGCCTCAGGCCCCTGCTCAGAGGTGGCCCCAGCCACGCCCAGGAAGGCTCAGCTCCCATGAAAGGCCGTGTCGACCTCAGACCCAGAACCACGCGAGTGTGCAAACAGGAACGCACAACCCCCCCCCACCCCCCCGCTGCGCATTGAAGCCCTGCTCCTTCGCCCCGAATCCTCCCTACGGCCGCTGGGCGAGCACAGCATAAACCCAGCCCGTTCCCAAAAGGAGGTGGAACCAGATGGGATCCTGGGGGCTTGGGGCTCAGTCAAGTTTCAGGCAAGGAAAATTCTCCGCTCCCTAGCGAGCACCACGCAGGGCCTTGGGGTGGGAAGGGGCAGGGAGGAAGGCTGACCTATCAGAGACGAAGAGAGTCCCTTCCCTGCGGGCACCAAGGCCAAACCACCAGGTCCTGGGAAGGATCGGGGAAGAGTCCACACCCAAAGCCGCAAAGAAATCTGCCCCAATTCCCTACATCTTTAACCCTAAGAAGGTCTGCACCCGCCGTCTGACGCACTAGTATTTTGAAAGGGAGCCCATTCCTCCTCCTAAGATTAGCACAACCCCAGGCTCCTGGGGGCTCATTTAAGCGTCCGACTCCAGGCTTCGGCTCAGGTCATGATCTCACGGTTTGTGAGTTCGAGCCCCGCATCGGGCTCTGTGCTGACAGCGTGGAGTCTGCTTGGGATTCTGTCTCTCCCTCTCTCTCTGCCCCTCCCTGGCGCGCTCTTGCTCTCTCTCTCTCTCTCTCTCTCTCTCGACAAATAAACAAACATTAAAAAAAAAATTAGCACGACCCCATTAGAGTAAATGCCTGGGTGATTTTCTTGAGGGAAAGAAATGATTTCATAATAAACTCCCAGAGGACTGGGGGGCATTCTGCCTGCCTGGCAAGCTATAGCCGGTGACGGGCCACCTCCCAAGGGCACAGACGGTGACGATGAGGGGCGTGCAGGCCCGCCGGGCGGTCCCTGACCACCAGGGCCTCCTACGTCAGAGCACAAGGCGCCATGAAAGGGACGGTGAAGTCCAGAGGAGGGAGGCGAGCCGGTCACTGAGGTGACGGTCACTGACGATGGGATAAGGCACGAATTGGGGACCAGGCTCCTGGGGGGGGGGCCTGGTAGTGTCTTTGGGGGACCCCGTGTGGCCTCTCAGGACACAGGAGCTCCTGATGAGCGGCCCAGGTGCCAGGCCTGAGCGTGTGGGCTCCATCCTGGGCGCACAGGGGACCTGGAGACTGGGGGGCAGGCGGCAAACTCTGTGAATCTCAGGAAGGTTACAGGAAGCAGGTTTGGGACAGGCCAGCGGGGGAGGGGTGGGGGGGAGGGGCAACAGGGGAAGTGAGAAGCCCCAGGGCTCATTGAGGAGTGGGGGGGACGCACACGGGGTGGGGGGCATGGAAGATGCTGGAGAGGCCCATGGATGCTGGGGGGGCCGTGCGGGTGCCCGGGTTTAAACTGAGTGCAGACAGGCGGCTCGGAGCCTGAGTTCTGCTGTCAGTTCTGCCACTACCAGCTCTGACCTCGGGCCTCAGTTTCCTAGTCTGTACAATGGGAGAGTAGCAGCGGCTGGGGCGGCGCGAAGCAGTATCGGCAGAAACAGAGAGGCGGGAGGGGAGGCAGGGCTGGAGGCACGGACTTGGAGAGCCGCCTAACCTGCTCCTCCGTGTCAGATTTCCCCGGGGTCACGGGAGGCCGTCCGCTGTCCCCTGTGTGCCGGCCCCTCGCCAGCAGACCCCCCATCTGTCAGGGACCCGGACCCCGCTGCCGCTTGGACAGCGATGAATTCGAGCTGCGCCCTGACCGCGGTGCCCGGGGCCCCGGCTGTGAGCACCTGTGCCCGGCACCTTCCAGGATGTCCCCGTGCGGCCACCGAACCGTGGGGAGGAGGGATTCTCAAAGGGGAGGCCGGGGCTCCCGCTGGCTGAGGACACATCACGGTCACAGGCCAGGAGGCAGCAGAGCGGGGACTGGACTCACAGAAGCCCCGCCCTTAGACTCCACTCTGCCCCCGGGAGGCTGGCCTCTGCGCAGGGAGCTCAGCGGCGCTGTGTGGGTGTGAAGAACAGGCAGGGGGCGCTCCCCCCCACGAGAGCAGATGGGGCCCAGGCCCCGGGCACGGCTCTCACCATGTACTCCATGTTGGAGGCCGGGGGGTACACCTGGCCCCGGAGTTTGTTGTGCAGCATGAGAATCTCCTCCTTGTCCGACCTGGGAATGGCCCTCCGGACCCGCGAGGGCGGCGCGTCCTGCTGGTACTTGCTGAGCAGCTTCTCCAAGTGGGTGATGTTGGGCAGGAAAAAGCCTTGGGCTCCGCACACCAGGAGCAGCAGCCCCAAGGGGATGAGGCCGTTCAGGGTGCAGCTCATGGCGCCGGCGGGCAGCGTGGACCAGGGCAACGATGTGGCTCCGGGGCGTGGGCTGTGGGGGGAGGGGGAGACGTGTCAGCGTTCGAGCAGCCACAGCGTGGGCTCTCCCCACTCTGCAGACGTGAACATCGAGGCCCAGGGAGGCCCAGCAACCACGCCCCCCCCAAGACAGGAGCCACCCTCGCTCTTCTCCCCCTAAAGCGCCACGGACCATGGTCCTGTCCTGGCCCGTCGCCCAGAGGGGGGTGTGCGTGCACACAGGGAAGAATCGATCTGTCACCGGGACCTTTACTGGGCATCTATTTTGTGCTAGGCCCTGGGGCACAAAGGTGGAGAGGACACTGTGCGTCATCGCAGGGAGCTCCCAGGTGGGCTGGGGACAGTGGCGACGAAGGCCGTCCCCGGCGGGGCAGCGGTGACTGCAGCCCGCGTGAGGGGTGCTGAGCCGCCCTGGCCCCCGAGACTCTGCTCTTGCATCAGGAATCAGCCCTCCTCCATCAGTCCACTGGCTCTGCAGGGGGCGTGAGGCCTGCAGGGGGCGTGAGGCCGGGGCAGGGAGGGGCGGGAGGAGCGGGGAACCCAGGAGCCATGGCAACAGGCCCGGCTCCCTCCCCATCTCTCCCTCCCAGGGAGCTCCCTCCCGGGGGTGGGCAGCAAGTCCGTGCTCGACTGCCCCCCCCAGGAGTCGACCCAGTCACGCCGACCCCCGGGGGGCCCCCCCAGCTCTCTCCAGGGTTAGTGGCATCACCATATATGAACATTCTCCAGCTGCAGAAGGCCGGGCTGGGAGAGCAGCCAAGGCACGGACGCCGGACCGCGATCTGAGACAGCGCGGGAGCAGAGGCCGACGTCAGGGGATGCCCGCCGGTGTCACGCCCGCCCCAGGGGCTGTCGCGCTGTGCGCCCCGACAGCTCGAGGGCCAGGGCGCCCCCGCCGCCGTGAGGCGGGCATTGCTCGTATGAACCAGCGTGATTCACCCGAGGCCCGGGGTGGGGTCAGGCGGCCAGCGGGCACCACTCGAATGACTGGCAGGGGGGCAGGTAAACAAACCGGGGCGCACTGGGCCCCGATATCGCACAGCAGGCGACAGGAACGAGCTAGGGCCACGTGAGCGTCCTCGGTCGTCCATTTTGATGTCGGGTTAAATAAGTAAGTTGTAGCGGGGGCGCCTGGGGGGCTCAGTCAGCTTGAAGGGTCTGACTCTTGATTTTGGCTCAGGTCATTATCTCATGGCTCAGGGGATCGAGGCCTGTGTTGGGCCCGTGTTGTGCTGTCAGCACAGAGCTTGCTCGGGATTCTCTGTTTCGCTCCCCCTCTGCCCCTCCCCCACCCGAGCACACACGCATGTGCTCTCTCAAAATAAATAAACATGAAAAAAATTTTAATAAAAAACTAATTTGTAGAAAATGACACTAATGGTACCACTTGTGAAAATTATAAAACATAAAACCACGTTTTGCATAATGGAGATATATATCGATATAGACATACATGTATACATATGCCTATTGCATATATATTATATATCACACACACATATACGCATGTCTGTATATCTGTGTGTACATACAGGTATATGGGGGGGGGGGTTATATGGTAAAACCACAGCTGAATCAGGCCAAGTTCATAAAGCCAGTGACTCCAGGGTGAGGGAGGTAAAACTGGCAAGGAGAATGTGAGGGACCCCATCTCTGTCTTTAATATATTATTTGCATTTTTAAAATCTCAAGCAAATAAGGCAAAACATCACTCTCAGGGACAGGCCGCATCAGCAAGAACAGCAAAGCAGCGACCCAGGGAGGGGTCCTGGGGGCCCGTGCCCGGATGGGGAGCACACGCCATCCTGCGCACTGGTCTGTTGGTAAAACATATCAATTAGTGAAAGGAAGCAAAACACCAAAGCATGAGAAGACGCAGAAACAACTGCTGGCTCCAAGCGCATCTTTCCGGCATGTTCTCCTGAACAGGTGCCACCTGGATCCAAAGGACACGACAAGCCGCCTTCAGTGTGAACAAGAACAGACCTCCTGTGGGGCGCCTGGGGGGCTCAGTGGGTTAAGCGTCTGACTTCGGCTCAGGTCATGATCTCACGGTTGGTGGGTTCGAGCCCCGCGTCGGGCTCTGTGCTGACAGCTCAGGGCCTGGAGCTGCTTCTGAGTCTGTGTCTCCCTCTCCCTGCCCCTCCCCTGCTCATGTTCTGTCTCTCTGTGTCTCAAAGTAAACAAACATTAACAAAAGCAGGGAGGCCTCCTGTGCCCAGGGCTTGTAGGCCGCTCCTTCTCTGTGCGGCCCCCGTGAGAATCTGTAAAGCCTGCGGACAGCCTCTGAGTCGGGGGCGCCATGCCGAGATCGAGTCACAGCCTCCCATCAGAACCCAACAGCCTCCCATCAGAGAACCCAACACGCGACCTTCTCCAAGGGCCTTCTCCCTGCACCTCAGCCGGTCACTGCCCGGGAAACGCAGACTTGCCCCAGGCCGTGCCGCTCACGGCACCTCGCGGGCACCATGCCCGGTGCCCTGTCGCTTCTGCAAGTGGCTGGGCCACGCCGGAGCCCGGGGTCCTGGGGGTCCCCGCTGGGGAGGGGCAAGGCCCAGGTCCTGAGGCTCCGGCAAAGTCCGTGCCGCAGGGGAAGCGTGGGGACAATGGGGTGTGGTGATGTCCCCAGGGCTGCGCCCCCCCCACCCCCCGCACAGAGCTGGCACAGAGGAAACTAACATGGGGCCCTGGGCTGAGCTCTGGTCCCCCCAGACCCACACGCTGAGGCCCCCAGCACCTCAGAGTGCGGCTGCACCTGGAGTCGGGGCCTGTAAGGAGGTTGTGACGTGAAGATGAGGTCACTAGTGGACCCTGATTCAATCTGACCGCTGTCACCATAAGAGAAGGACTTAGGAAGCAGACGGTCACGGAGGGAGGACCATGTGAGGCCCTGGAGACGGGCCTCGGAGAAGCCCACCCGGCCCACACCGCGGACCCCCAGCCCCCAGAACGTGAGAACATAAAAGACTGTTGAAGCTGCCGGCCGGTGGCACCTGGTCATGGCCGCTCGGCAACCTAATACCTGCATCGGGCAGTAAACAGCTGAGCAGGACTGCAATCCTGATGTCCCACTGGAGGAGGCGGGGGGGGCGGTGAACCAGAGGCCCAGCCCCACCGGACCCAGGAGGCTGACGCTGAGGGAAACCTCCTGGGAGCCGCCTCTGGACTTGGCATCTCACCCACCCAATGATCCAGCGCGATTGCGCCCATTTCACAGAGGAGGAGACTGAGGCCCCTGCCGTTTCAGGATGAGCCCAAAGTCATACAACAGGGGAGCAGAAACCCTGCGCTTGGGACGCAGCCTGTGTGGCCCCAGGGCCCTTTCCTGGCGCTGCCCCGCCTCCCCGAAGGTGGGCTTCCAGGAGGAGTCCCCAGCCCCACTCTGCCAGGGACCGGCCCGAGACAGCACAGCCTCGAGTTACAGCCCTCTTTCCACCGGCCTCCGAGTCTGACGGCGGTTCCTGACAACGAGAAGGCACCCGTGTGTCACCCCGTGGGGACCAAAACCTTTACACCACGGTGACCTTTCACCAAAATGCGCCTCCACCACTGGGTTGGGCACCCAGCCGACCTCCGTCTGCCGGTGTGCCCTTGATGCCCCCGTGGCAAGCTGACCTCTGACCCCTGGCATAGACTGATGCTCTCTGATTTGGACCCCTGATCCTCCTGGGGTTGGCGAGGGCGAACCTCGCTCCTCCGACAGCTCTGCCCCCCTCTGTCATCCCTGGCCTGTCCCCGGCGCCTGGAGGCACGCACTGTGCACGGCTGCACAGCACAGCTGACACGCCCTCCGGGGACTACGGCTCCCCCCGCCGCAGTGGCGAAACCCAGCCCGCGAGGCTGCACACGAGACAGCAGCGCCCAGGGCTCACGAGAACATACCAGATGTCAGGCCACCGGGGAGGTGGGGAGGGAGCCCGAAGGCAAGACCCCAGCCCAGCAGACGGAGGTCGCGGGGATCAAATCCCCACAACACTGTCCAGAGCTCTCAAAGACATCCGGAGTCCTCCAGGGAGGTGGCTGTTTCCAACCCCATTTTCCAGAAAGGAAAACGGAGTCCGGGAGACACTGCCAGGTGTCTGTGAGGCTGTGCAGCCAGTTAGAGATGGAGCCAAGCCGTGAATCCAGCTTTCTGAAAGCTTGGGGACCTTTCTTTTTAATGTTTTTATTTATTTTTGAGAGTGATGGAGCACAAGTGGGGAGGAGCAGAGAGAGAGGGAGACACAGAATCTGAAGCAGCTCCAGGCTCCGAGCTGTCAGCACAGAGCCCGACGCGGGGCTCGAACTCACAACTGTGAGATCATGACCTGAGCTGAAATCAGGTTAACTGACTGAGCCCCCCAGGCGCCCCAGGGAACTTTCAACACACAGCTCAGGGGATCAGCCGACCCTTGCATTCCCGATCCAGCAACGGGGTCCCCTCATATCATCTCCCGGGCGAGGCTGTCCCCCAAACCCGCCTCTCAGGAGCAGGTGAGAGAGAGAGAGAGAGAGAGAGAGAGCGAGCAAGCCTGCTCTGGGCTCCGTGCGTCATCCCCAGGGGCTGCCTCTGTGGTGTTCGGCACAGGCTGCCAGGAAGACGCATCTCCACCAGGTTTGCCAGCTGTCGGCTCCGAGAGGCGCCAAGCTCTTCCCTCTTGCACACGCTGTTCCCATAGCTCACCCCGAGGCCTCGGCCTCCGCCCTCCCTGGCCTGGGCCAGGCACATTCATTTCTGCTCTTTTGGTAAAGATGCAGCTTCGGGGTCACGGCTGAATCAGCCACCCCGGGACCTGTCGGGCTCACTCGCTGCCAAATCGCCGACATCAGACAGCTTGGTGTTGAAGGAATATTTCTGGAGTGAATGTTGATCTCCAGGCGAGATCAGAAGAGCCGTATAAGGACTCGGCGTGGCACTGGCTCCTTGGTGTTCCCCGCAGCACGGGCCCTCTGGGAACACAGAGCTGGGTGAGCTCCTGACACTGCCCGTCCCCCACCCCTCCACCCCCGGCTGTGAGGCTGGGGCAGGGCCGG